GGGGCTGAGCGGCTCCATCCTCTGGAAAGTTCCCCACTGGTTCAGGCGCATTTGTCCTGTGTCCTCATTAAGGGCTGATATCACCAACTCACCGTCCTGAAGAACAGTTCTAGGAAATCTCGATACTCCTGGCTGCCTGCGTTGCGAAAGGATTCTGAGTATCTGACATTTGCGATTCTGACCTTTCCAATGAGCTTCCGGGCCGCTGCAGGATGGAGGATAAGCACATTTGGAATGTATTAGATAACAAAGTAACATTTCAATATTAATAAGCATATTTTCATGTCCGTGAAGAGCATCACACCAAGGCCGCCCTGTGTTCTAGAAAGAAGGAATAGTGCCAGGGCTCAGTGACACAGTCCATCAGATGCCAGAGGACACAGGACAAAGCCTGAACACAGTGGGAGAACTTTCCAGAGGATGGAGCCAGCTCAGCCCCTGCAACTGTGTCCTCAACACACACACCCTTCCTTCCTTGCTGCCGTTACCCATGCTGGGGCATTCAAACAATTTACCAGCAAGCTGGCATGACTTGAAGCATGTGGAGGCACCATTAAATAACTTTGCCAGGGCCACAGGTACAAACTGGGCTGTCCCAGGTAGACCAGGACTTAGAGCCCTGGCCAGGCCTCTGCTCAGAGTGCACAGGGCCACAGGGTGCCCAGGGGTCTTGTTAAAGCCAGCCCTTCTTCCTTCCCCCGCAGCCCCACCTCCCCTCGTCTATGGGCAGTCCCTGTTTTGGCATCATCTGTTCCATCTGAATGTTTTCCCTCCGTGGAGGGCTTCTAGGAGTATATGGCGCATAAATGTGGTCCAGGAATGTCGCCACCCCCTCCTGGCCCTGGCATGGCAGCCACCCCAGTGTTCAGTCAGTCCCTCACCAAATATTTGTGAAGCACCTGCCATGTGCCAGAGGCATTCCAGACAGTGAAGGAGAAAGACACAGCTCTCCCCTCAGGGGGCTGAGAGTCCATCTCCCCAGAGCTTCTCACTCGGGCTTAAGACAAACCACAGAGCCATTCTGCTATGCATTCCTGGGGGAACCCCAAACTCTCCATCCTTGAGATCATTTTTGTGGCTGCCCCTGAGGGCCTCTGGTTCAGTCTCCATGGCTGGCACGGGCAACCCAGTCTGAAAGCCATCAGTAGCAGGACAGGTGCATAGGTGAGAGCAAGTATAAGCGTGCCCACATGTTCGGGGTCCCCCATGCAGCCTGTCCCGTCCAGAGCAGCTGAGACCTTCAGCGGCCCAACTCTGGTTCTCAGACCCCAGGGCCACCCTGCCTGACCGTCCAGCCAGCACTGATCTCCCTCTTCTCCAGCTGCTTGTGAACTTGCACAGTTCACGTCATGCACTTCCTCTGTTCTCTAATTTCTCAGGCCATGGCTGATTAGTACTTTAAAGCACAGACATAGAAGTTCTCAACTTCTATTACTGCATCCCAATAGGCCATCTTATGCCTCCCTCAAGGGGTATGCGCCCCACCATGCAGACCACTGCTATCAATGCTGCCCACGGTGTGAAAACCATCTTACACCTCCCTCAAGGGGTGCGCACCCGACCGTGCAGACCACTGCTACTAACACTTGGGAAACTGCCACGGTGTGAAAACCAGCCTGCAACATCAGACATGCCCTTGACTATCCAGGTAAGGTACACATAAGAAAATACCCAGGTGGTGACGCTAATGAAAAGAAAAGAGGAATTTCATCCAAATATATGTAATATGGTCACCACCCAGCTTGAACGCAGTGGAGTCTATGTTTGATTCATTATTGCTCAGTTCTTTAGTTTGTGGCCCCAGGCTCTGGCGGGCTGCTCACAGATCATCCGTGTGACTGCTGATTGTCGGTTGATGTCCTTCCTGAAAGCCAAGTCCTCTGAGACTGTTGAGATCAGAGGGAGTGGATGCAGCTCAACAGCTGAGTTGCTTCCCCAAGAGGACATAGGGGAGCCACACCCGCAGCCTACCAGGCACAGTCTGCAGCACTCTGCCGCCGCCTCAGAGCCGGCCAGTTGCCTAATGCCTTTTCCTGAATAAGCCGCCTCCTGCCTGGCTGTCGTTGCATGCCTGCTGAAGCCAGCCAGATGTCCCTAAGCTGAGAGGAACAATGACACCTAGCAACCCACAAACTAATCCAGCTCTCTTAAGCCTTAACCCACGGAAAGCCTTTTTCATACTTTTTATTCCTCTCTTTAAAAACAAATGAGAGGCCGAGGTGGGCGGATCACGATGTCAGGAGATCGAGACCATCCCGGCTAACACGGTGAAACCCCGTCTCTACTAAAAATACAAAAAAATTAGCCGGGCGTGGTGGCGGGCGCGTGTAGTCCCAGCTACTTGGGAGGCTGAGGCAGGAGAATGGCGTAAACCCGGGAGGCAGAGCCTGCAGTGAGCTGAGATCACGCCACTGCACTCCAGCCTGGGTGACAGAGCGAGACTTCGTCTCAAAAAAAACCAAAAAACAAAAAACAAAACAAAACAAAAAACCAAATGGAAGCCCATTACCTGTCCTCACTTTCAGATGAGCTCTGGCACCTTCTTTCCCACATGCTTTGGCCACGATCTCAACCAGGTGCAAGACGCCAGGCTCCAGCCCCGACACGGTCACACTCGTGTTCCAGGTCTCCAGGACCACGGTGGGGCTCCATGCGGAAGTCAGAGTGAGCTGGAAGGCGGAGTCCAAAGCAAGGCCTGCCTCCCACGCCAGGTGGAAGCTTGTGCTGGTCACATTGGAGACCACGATCCTCCCAATGGAGACGGGAACTGGGAAGTGGAATAGAAACACCAAAATTAAAAATCAAGCCATTTCTAGGAGAAAAGAAGCCTCGCCCAATGCCAAAAATCAAATTCATCACCGTGGGGACATGAGCGATTTGCAGGTGATGGCCGCCAAAGTGATGGTTGAGTAGGATCCTGTACAAACCTCCCAAGCGCGGGCTTCCTGGGCCTGCATCCTTGCCCCTCCTCAGGATGATAGCAAATGGCTTCTGGTTTGGTTTTGTTTCAGCAAATGGCTCATATACATCCCTGAGGCCCCTGGACCCCCCCAAATGAAGGCCTCTTGAGCAGGTTCTTGGTGGCGCCTCAGAGGGACCGTCTACTCTTGACCCCTGGGTGGATTTACCCAGGATCCAACTAGGGGTCGATACTGGTGACAATGCTGGCTAGAGAACCATTCTTACAGGAGGACCTCAGGGCCCTCGGTAATACTGACTTACATGGGCTTAAGAGTTTAGTCTTAGAGCCTGCTTAGCAGAGGAAATGCATTGAGGAAGATCACATTTAACAGTTCATTAGCATGAAATCCAGAGACAGACTAGCTCTGCAAGCTCACAGGGCTGTCATGGCCGAGACCCAATTCCTGCACAGAGCTGCTGTGACTCTCCTGAGATGTCACCTGGGGGCTTGGTGATGGCTCAATCTTCCACAGGTAACATGGAACTGCTGGGGTTACGGTATGACTAGAGGTGCAGAACAGCTGAGGGGTGCAGGAACCCTGGATGTGTAGAGCAGATGAGGGTACAGAACACTTAGGGGGTAAAAAACAACTGGGGGTGTAGAACAGCTGACAATGCAGAGCATCTGTGGAGGTTCAACATCTGGGGTTAAGAGCAGCTGGGGAAGTACAGAACTGTGGGTGTAGAACAGCTGAGGGAGCACAAAGCAGCTGGGAAAGTGCAGAACACCTATGGAGGTGCAGAACAGCTGGGGAGACACAGAACAGCTGGGCAGATACAGAGCAGCTGGGGACACACAGAACAGCTGGGGAGATGCAGAATCTCTGGGGCATATACAACAACTGGGCAGATGCAGAACAGCAGGGAACATACAGAACAGCTGGGGAGATGCAGAATCTCTGAGACATATAGAACAGCTGGGCAGATACAGAACAGCTGGGGAGATGCAGAATCTCTGAGACATATAGAACAGCTGGGCAGATACAGAACAGCTGGGGACACACAGAACAGCTGGGGAGATGCAGAATCTCTGAGACATATAGAACAGCTGGGCAGATACAGAGCAGCTGGGGAGACAGAACCGCTGAGGAAGTGCAGAACAGCTGGGAGAGCTGGGGGTGCACAAAAGCTGGGGTGCAGCCCACTTTGGTGTGCAGAGCAGCTGCAGGGCTGCAGAATGCTTGGCAGGATGACGGAACAACGGAGGGGTGCAGAACAGCTATGGGAGGGCAGCATTACTGGGGGGTGCAGAGTTGTTGTGGGGATGTCATCACACTGATCGGGGCTGGGGCAGGCGGGGGCACAGCTCTGCTAGGAGGCAGGACAGCGGGGGTGGTCAATGCCTCAGGGGATGGCTCCAGTACCTAATGCGACAAGTAAGCCGCAGTGCCTGCTCCTGAAGGCAGACCTCTGCCCCAGCGGCTGCAGGCAGGGAGCCCTAAGACGTGGGGAAGAGAGGGCTGGGACAGGCAAGGGGACCAAGCTGTCTTCCTAACTCAACCAGAAACCAGCTGCTGGGCGCCTCCGTTTCCTCACGCACAAGATGAGGCTGCTGCCTGAGCATTGCTAGCAGCCTGCGACTCCACGGCCGCGGGAGCTTTGCCACCAGAGGCTCACACACGCTATGGGTCCTATTAGTCCTAGTCCCCATGCACCATTCGAGGAACTTACCACAGGCGGGGGTCTTCAGAGGTGTGAGGGTGGGGGTCGATGGCAGGTCTGCAGAACTGGAGGGTCCACTGTCCTCATTTTGCAGCCACGTGGGATTCAGAAGTGTTTCCCAGGTGGAACGGGTGGCATGCCACACGACGTGGCCGGTGGGGTCCTCAGTAGGGGGAAGCCAGGAGGGTGGCTCCATGGTGGAGTTTCCCAGTAGCTGTCCAGGGAGGGCCAGTGGGCCATCTGTGGCCCCAGGAGGGAAGCTGTGGGTTGACCCAGGAGCCTTCGGGGAGGAGGTGGTGCCTATCACCCCAATAGTGTTCCTATGACCGGGGCTCACCTGGCTGGGGCTACCCTGGCTGGTGCTCCCCTGGCTGGGGTTGCTGGGGCTCCCCTGGCTGGTGCTCCCCCCCCTGGCTGGAGCTCGCCTGTCTGAGGCTCCCCTGGCTGGTGCTCCCCTGGCTGGGGCTCGCCTGTCTGAGGCTCCCCTGGCTGGTGCTCCCCTGGCTGGTGCTCCCCTGGCTGGGGCTCGCCTGTCTGAGGCTCCCCTGGCTGGTGCTCCCCTGGCTGGTGCTCCCCTGGCTGGGGCTCGCCTGTCTGAGGCTCCCCTGGCTGGGGTTCACCTCGCTGGGACTCCCCTGGTCCATCCCCAGACCCAGGGCAGTGCTGGGCGCCTCCTGCTCCTTGCCTTTTCCTGTGCTGTTCCTGTCATACCCGACCACACTGCTGCCTCCTCTCCTGGGCGGGGGCCCTGGGGCCCAGTCCTGGCCTGCTGCCGGGGTGCCCTGAGGGTGCCCAGGGCTGGGTGACAAGGTGAAGTTCTCTAGGCCGAGGGCTGCTGTTCCCGTGCCAAGAGCTGGGGCCGTTACCCCTGTCGCCGCAGACAGCCCATTGTCCGTGGGGCTCACCAGGTCACCTGCCAAGAAACATCCACGGTCAGAGCCTGCTGGATCCCACCCATGACTAAGAGCCTCCCAGGAGGGCAGCACAACTGTCCAGCAGGACTGCTGTGCATCCCCGCGTGGACCTGGCCAGGGCCGCAGGCGGCTTCAGCCAGCGTTCGGGAGAGTTCAATGGGCTCATGTTTGCAGGCTCCCCGGGAATCTCCGAAGGCAAGTCACGCCTCCCTACTGGATAAATGAGGAGACTGAAGCTGAGGGTGAGGGATCCACCCCGGGGGGCTACAAAACCCGGACTTGAAAATGCAGGGCTTGGTTCTCACAGGCCTCAGATTAATCCATCAGGACTCTGGGAAAATGGGACAGTTTCCCCCAGGTTTGTGCTCAGTGTGGGACTTGGTGCTGGATGCTGTCATCGACTTGCAGGACGTTAGGCAAATAAGAAAAACAGGAGAAGACAAGGTGTGGGTGTTAGGAAGCAGAGCAGCACTCGCAGTGTCTAAGAAACATTCTCCCCGGAGAACAGGTCTCGGCTGCTCCTTCCAGCTAGAAAGGCCTCAGCGGAGGCTGGCAGCCGGTGGCTGGGTGCCTCTGCCATGCCTGCATCCGGGCCGACATGGCTCATCAGCCTTTTAGGTCCTCACGTGGCCTCCTCCTGCTGCTCAGCTCAGCACCCCAGGTATCCCCAACCCTCTCATCAGAACTGGCCCACAGAAAAGACTGAGGGCTAATACAGCAGGACTAGAGCTCAGCAGCCCCCATCAAGCCCCTCTCCAGCTTCTCTGGGCTTCCACCCCTTCTTGGGCTCCAGGTCACCTAGGGAGGAATCCCTTGCCCCGGGCTGCATCCTGACTTCTGTGGGCCCAAGGACCTTGGCCTTCATGGAGCCCTGCACCCCTCCACTTAAAAATTTATCAAAAATTACATTTTATAATGACATCTGGATAGCGATGAGTGTAATCCAGGCTAGATTCATCGTTTTATGTATATTTACTATCCTTCTATTAATTTCTTTCTTCTGATTTTAAAAGAAATGGAAATGAAAACATTTCTGTAGGTCCCTAACATTACCATAGGTCCTCAGCGCTGTGCCGATGGAGAATCGGACCTTGCCCCACCCCCAGATTCTTGGGCAGGGGGCCTCCCCAGAGTTGGCAGGGGGGTCGACACGTACCCTCACAGGCCCGGCCCGCGCGGGAAGGGGTGGCGTCCCTGGTGGTGCGGCACTGGCAGGTGTAGGAGCCCTCCAGGTTGATACACCAGGCAGCCGGCGAGCAATCGTGCTCTGTGCTGTCCACACACTCATCCCAGTCTGCCAGGGGTAGACACAAGACAAAGCCCATGAGAAAATGGCCAGAGAGTGATCAGAAGACAGACCCATGCTGGAAGGAGTCCTTCCTAGCCATCTTTGCAGTGAACGGCCGGGAGCAGGGGCACTTTTGGGGCAGAAGTGGGGCATTCGTCCAACACTCTCATGACAAGCTTATGGCCTGCCCGTGCCCACCTTCACATCGGTTGGCTTACTTGGGGGCAAAGATTAGGAAATGTTGGTTTCTTTGGATGATATTAGCACCCACAGGTGCGCATCTAACCCTCTCTTCTTTATTCTCTGTTTCCACACCCCAAAAGTTGAAACTCCTCTCTCTTTGATGTGCCAACATTCTCCAATACTTAGTGTCTCAACCAAGAAATGGAAAAGTAATTGAGCCGGGGGTGGGGGTCCAGCTGAGTAAACATGAACTTCCCACGCTGGGGGTGGGGGTCCAACTGAGTACAACATGAACTTCCCACGCCAGGGGTGGGGGTTCGCCTGAGTATAACATGAACTTCCCACGCCGGGGGTGGGTCCAACTGAGTATAACATGAACTTCCCACGCCGGGGGTGGGGGTTAGCCTGAGTATAACATGAACTTCCCACGCCGGGGGTGGGGTCCAGCTGAGTATAACATGAACTTCCCACGCCGGGGTGGGGGTTAGCCTGAGTATAACATGAACTTCCCATGCCGGGGTGGGGTCCAGCTGAGTATAACATGAACTTCCCACGCCGGGGGTGGGGGTTAGCCTGAGTATAACATGACCTTCCCACGCTGGGGTGGGGTCCAGCTGAGTATAACATGAACTTCCCACGCCGGGGGTGGGGGTTCGCCTGAGTATAACATGACCTTCCCACGCCAGGGGTGGGGGTTCGCCTGAGTATAACATGAGCTTCCCACGCCGGGGGTGGGTGTGCAGCTGAGTATAATATGAACTTCCCACACTGGGGGTGGGTCCAGCTGAGTATAATATGAACTTCCCACGCCGGGGGTGGGGTCCAGCTGAGTATAATATGAACTTCCCACGCCGGGGGTGGGGTCCAGCTGAGTATAACATGAACTTCCCACGCCGGGGGTGGGGTCCAGCTGAGTATAACATGAACTTCCCACGCCATTCTAGAGCACCCAGGTGTCTCCACAGGTGTGCTCCTCCTCCTGTGCCCCAAAGACATGTGATGTCATGTCAGTGGGGAGCCCGCCTTGGGGAGAAATGGGGAGGACAAGGACAATGTAGTTCCCCGGGGGGTGGCTGAGCTCATCGGGGCCAGGCCCCGCTGGGTGGTGACAGTGCCTTCTGTGCTTCTGCAGAGCTGCCGGTGGAGGAACTCAGGAACACACTCACGCCCAGCATGCCACAGAAGTTCCAGTTCAGTTGGAATTTAAGCCACGATGTGGGACCAGTTCAGTTCTGTGCAAAGAAAACCCTGCCGCTGAGTGCTCAGAGTCTCATTTCGTGGCTTTTTCTCTGTTGTGCTTCCTGCGGTCTCCACAGAAGCAGCTTCCCTGGAGAACAGCAAGCTCGTCAGCTGCCACAACAGCTATGCCACCACCCTGGCATGGCGGGGGCTGCCTTGCCATCAGAACACTGCTGGTGCTAACCCACACCTCTTCCTGGGGTGCTACTCAACCTCCAGCTGACCAGTAACTCTCCTGGGGTGCTCCGGGTTGGGTTTGGAGCCTAGGCTGGCTGGGTTGCAGTCCATGGAGGACAGCAGAGGCACCAAGCAAGCCGCTGGCTCAAACCACCAAGCACCTCGTGTCTATTTTGGTGTGTGGTGATTCACCTAGTCTTCACTCCTCCGTCCCCCCAGACAGCTCCCAAGCGAGCTCAGAGGAAGGCGCTGACAGCTGTATTTAGTCTTGCATTATGCCTTGAGGCTTGCCGGCCCTCCAGTTCAGAGGAAGAGGCAGGTGTGGGAGCAGAAAGAGCTGCCAGCAAGCCTTTGCACCCTCCCGGGCTGGCCAGGCAAGGGCGCAGAGCAGGCAGGAGCCCAGGGCAGGACGCTGCACACTGCTCCCATTGGCCCCGCAGCCAGGTGTGGTGGCGGGCGCCTATAATCCCAGCTACTGGAGAGGCTGAGGCAGGAGAATCACTTGAACCTAGGAGGCAGAGGTTGCAGTGAGCCGAGATCGTGCCGTTGCACTCCAGCCTGGGCAACAAGAGCAAAACTCTGTCCCAACAAAAAAAAAAAAAAGAAAAGAAAGAGACCCACATGTGGGCAGTTGTCTAGCTGCCTGGAAGTGCTGGGGGGTCCTGACCACAGACACAGTGAACTTCTGTCCCTTTTCCCCGAGAGGACCTTCCAGCCCCATTTCACTCAGGGTCCTGGGCTGACCGATGAGACACAGGTGGGCTGGTTGTTCAGGGCTACTGCCCTGGCCCCCGGTTCCGGTGGAGGAAGATAGAATAGGATTTGCATTTCTTTACCCTTTTAAATAAAGGAAAGACTGACTCAAAGTCACCAAGAGGATTTCTGAGCTGGAGGGCACCAGGCAGCAGGGCGGGTGGCTGGGCTGTACCTTGCACACGTGTCCCCTGCCGGTCAATCTGGAACACCGTACTTGCCAACAGGGGCCGGAGCATGGGGGCCAGCGTGGAGACACCCACGGGAACCCCAGGGTCCTGCACGGTGAGCTTGAGCCTCACGACCACGCTTCCTGCCTGGAGAGACACGATCTGCATTCTCAGTTTCCCACCTCGGTACAAGTCAGACACCGCCGGCGGGAAGGAGCTCTCGACCTAGCCAAGAAGAGGCAACAGCTACTCAGACAGCAGACGTCCATCAACGTCTTCACGACCGTTAAGCAGGGTTCCAGGTGTGACCAGTGGATGGTTCATGGAGCCATTTCTCTCCTCTACAATCAAGAGGAGGCACCCAGTGACCGACCTCTCAGAGCAAGCAGAGAGGTCCATTCACAGCACCTTAGCTGGGCTTTCCCTGGGATGGCCAGGCCTGGCCTGGTGTGTGCTGGGGACTCACAGTGACCACTGCAATCAAGCTCCCAGTCATGCAGCATCAGATGGACAATCCCCTCCGAGTGTCCCAAAAACTGATGTGAAGGTCATTTGTGTGAGTGTGTGAGAAAGACTATTGGATTGATTGATAAATGGATTGATAGATGGAGAGGCCCCATCAAGGAACAATGCCTACGGCTCTTTGGAGCTGTCCCCCCACTTACTAGGCTGTATCCCGCAGAAAACATGCACACAGAGCCAGGTGCTTAGGGTTACCCACGCCCAAGCAAGGGAGATACCAGCCTGATTCCCCGCCTTTCTGCCAACCCATACTTGCACACACAAGTGAGTTAACATTAAAAAAGGGAGGGAGTTCTCTGAAAACAATGAAAATTGGATTCCCCCTGCAGGCGAATGTTGGGAAGCAACGCTCTGCGGGTCTCTGGCATTTCTACACATCTTGCAAGTAGAAGCAATAACTGCCCTTTTGTTCCAGAATATCTTTCCAAGGATGTTTGCATAGTAAACAGCCTTGGGAGGGAGAGATAATGGCTGCCTCCAAAGCAAAGAGCAGGTTTGTTACTGTCTGATGTAACAGATAATGTCTCCTTCTGGAGCAAGTGCTTGCACCCATTATAAAAGATTCAGGTTCCCTAGGGTTGGGGTTCCTCAGCTCAGGTGCAGACCCACTTTATGTGCTTCATGCCCCTGGGCCCCTCTGCATCACCTCTGTGGGACTCGGGTGCAGGAAGGGGAACTGGCACAACAGCACACGCATGCTGCCTGCTGTGCTGTGAGTAATACGGTCTTCTGTCTCTGGCCCAGGAGTCTCATGTCTTCTGCCAGCATGCATGACACTGTGGTAGACTCACTTGTTAGTTTGCAGGGAGGGTAAAACCTCAGACCTTATGTGATTCTTGGCAGCTTAGGAAGTCACTTTTCCCTCCAATGCACCATCTGTGGATAGATGTGCTTCCCACTGGCTTGCTTCTCCCTGGCTGTCTGCTGATGTCCCCCTTTAGTCACGAGGGAGGAATGGATGCCGTGATTGCTGGTAAACGCTTTGCTAATGAAGCTACCCCAGAGCTGGAAGACAGAGCCCTCAGACAGAAGGTTCCACAGAAAATCCAGCAGTAGGATTAAATGGTGTAGACCATTTGAATAAAGGCACATATTTTAAAGATGGATTGGCCCCGTATCTGGATTAAGCACCCCATAAAAGCAGGGGGGAAGCTTTTGAGTAATCACTGTGCAATTTGGGTTTGGCCTCCCCTGGAGCTGCAGTAACATGTATTTTTGTCACAATCCCAGAGGAAGAGCTGGGCAGGAATTGGCTTGTGTTTGATGTCCGCACTCAGAACGCCCAAGAAAAGATTTTTATGTCTCATTGTGGCTTTACCTCGTGAAGCAGTTGTCTAGAAAAGTCCTGGAACTCCATGCTGCTGTGGTTGAGTAACCTCTCTGTCAGGTTGTGGTTTACAATCTTTATTGTGACTTCAAATACCTGGGCATCTGAGACAGACAGTGAAACAAATTAGCCTGTGGTCAAAAGTCACACACTTGTCTGTTAATGTTTTCCATGAAGCCTACTCTTTGGCGGAGAATTTTTTTTAATAGGTTGGGGCATGAATCTTAGATTGAGGTATCCTAATTGGGGGAAATAAACGTAAGAAACGAAAGAATAAACAATCACTTTTATGTCCAGGGCAGAGACATCCCAGGAAGGAGGTGCAAACGTCACACACAGCCCGTACCCACAGGAACTGGGATTCAACCAGGGCATGGAGGGTCTTTTCCCATGGGGTGGCTGCTGCTTTCCTTTGCCCTATTCATAACCACAGGGCCCAGCGGGTACTCACACAGGGCCCTTACTCAGGCCCCCAACATCAGGGTGACCGAAGGGTTCCAACCTGCCTGGGACGTTCCAGAATTTAGCCCTGAAAGTCCCATCTCTCAAGAACGTACTCAGCCAGTCAAACTGATAGGGTTGCTCACTTACAAGGGAGGTTGCATTATTTTTGGACATAAGCAAAGATGGAAAACAGGTTCAAGATGGGACACGGGAATATTCGTCTCTCATTATGAAAAGAAACTCAGCATGCACAACCCAAGTGTCGGCAGGCACAGGAACAGGTCGGCTGCAATTCTGCACATTTCTCTGGTTATCTAACAGCCACCCGCAGCTGTGCCCCACCCTGGCTCTCTCCCAGCTGGCAAACTACGGGCCATCAGAGTGTGTCACCTATGCACGCCACACTTAAGGCTGCAGAAATGCCACTAATGTCGTATATTGTATATTTACCAGTTGGGGCCCCTGTGAATCTCCCATCTTAGCAAGAGGGAGGAGCACTCCTTGTGGCCTCCGATTCTCAGGCCCCGACGTATCGCAGAGCCTCGTGGACCAGCGGCCTCCTCCAGGACCCTGGGAATTGGACTCCCTGGAGGCTCTGGGCATCAGATGCCACTGTAACACCTGCCCTGCTGCCTCCTGGCGTCACAGGCTCATGACAAGGTGGAATTAGACAAGGCCTTTAAAGCAAATTGGGCTCCTTCAAAAAGGGCTCTACAAAAGAAGGGCATTTTTATAATCTGGAAAAGGAAAGAAAATCAAGCCTGGGAAGTGGAATAGGTTGGTAATTCAGGAGTCTTCTAGAGTCTTCCAAATTATCTGTGCCTGACATTGCAATGTAGGTATTTTTTTCCTGAGGGCACGGGGTTGGTGGGATGGGGAGGGTGAGGGCACAGGCTTGGTAGGGTGGGGAGGGTGAGCGCACGGGATTGGGGGGGTAGGGGGGGTGAGGGCATGGGGTTGGTAGGGTGGGGAGGGGGGGGGGGGCACGGGGTTGGTGGGGTGGGGGGGGTGAGGGCACGGGGTTGGTGGGGTAGGGGGGGTGAGGGCATGGGGTTGGTAGGGTGGGGTGGGGAGGGTGAGGGCACGGGGTTGGTGGGGTGGGGAGGGTGAGGGCACAGGATTGGTGGGGTGGGCAGGGAGCTGCAAGTTCCTATTGCATTTCCCATAGAGATCAATTTTGCACCTGGAGGATGGCTCTATAATGGAACTGCCTCTCAGGCCTCAGTTTCCAAAGAGGGAAAAGAGTTCCTCCTCCCCTTAGTCCCGGCGTACTTTGGAAATGAAATGAGAAGATGAGGTGGAGTCAGCTTGGAATGGGAAGCTGCGTGCACAGTGGAGGGCTTGTGTCAAGCGTGGCTGGGGTGCTTTGGGGCTCTCTGGATGCCCATGCTGGCTGCTATGAGGACTTAGCTTGAGGTTCACCCCAAATCAGTTTGAAAAGGATGTAGGGCTGAGCCACATTCCGCCATTCATTCTCCGCCACCACTCACTGTCACTAGCATTAACCTCTGTGAGTGAGCAAGGCCCCAGTATGGTCTTTATGCAGCAATTTCTATGCTCTGCACTCTCTGCTGAGACATGAAGCCCAAAGCCCACAGCCCAGGGCTCCCACCGGCTCTACATCAGGGACACACACGTCGAGAACCCAGGACCAGAATGGAGCCCCAGCAACCCCACATTCACATCCCACAGCCACGGAGGCCAGCCTTGGGGAGAACTCCCACCAGCCAGGCCTCACCTGACCAAGTCTAGGCACCACTGGGCACCAGGCAAGTGGGGAGCAAGTCACGGGCAGAGCCAAGTGGGCCACATGGGACAGACCCAGACGGGCCACACCGGCTCCTTCCCGACAAAGTGCCGAGTTCATGTGTGCATCATGTGTTTTGGGGACAAAAGTTTCCTTTTGGGATCACTCGAGCCCAGGAATTTGACACCAGCCTGAGCAACATGGCAAGATTCCATCCTTACGAAAAATAAAAAAATTTAGCCGGGTGTGGTGCTATGTGCCCGTGGTCCCAGCTACTAGGGAGGCTGAGGTGGCAGGATCACTTGAGTCCAGGGAGTCAAGATTGCAGCGAGCTGTGATCGCACCACTGCACTTCAGCCTGGGTGACAGAGCGAGTCCCTGTCTCGAAAAGCAAAAACATTTCGTCCCAGCACAAATGTGGTGGGCACGGCATTCACTTTACATGCATCACTCGGGAAGCGAGGCATGAAAACGTCAGCGATTCTCCCCTGTCAGGGAGGGAACTTAGACCGCCTCAGTGCTGTGGGGTAAGCAGGCAGGGTCCTGATCTGCCTGCCAGGAGCTGCCGCCTTCTGCTTTATTATTATTTTATTCCTTTGCTTCACTCTAGCTGATGCCTTATTGGTTCTTCTGATTCCACATGTTGTCCCCTCACACAGCAGAGTGAACCCCGAACAGGGTGAGATGTGGGGAAGCGAGGGAGCCCGTGAAGGTGCCAGCGGGCCGATGCAATGCCGGGCAGGCAGTGGGATAACTGGGAGGGGAGGGAGGAAGTGCGGGACGGTCAGTGACTTCTGGTGCCCCGGTTATAGGAAGAACAATGTGACGTGCTAAGGCCATGGAACTGGTATAGAAAGACAAGTGCACAAGCTAACGTGGGTCTCTGACTGGGGGCCTTACCAGTTTTGACAGTCAGCGTGGTGGAGACGTTGGCCCCACACCCCTGGTAGCTGGTCTTCACCCTGTACAGCACTCCAGCCTCCAGCCCAGCCACTGCCAGTGCCTGGCCCTGTGTCCTGGCACTCATGAGCAACTCCGTACCCCGGTAAACCCAGACGTGGAAAGTGTGGTTCTGCGTAGAATTTAAACGCCAGGATACTTGAAAACTGCTACTGGTGACGTTGAGGACCACGTAGTCACTGAGTGGAGGACAATCTACGAAAGCACAGGAAGAGAAGACGAGCAAAGGGTCAGCGAGGGCGGCTTTATCTTCTGAAGCAGGTAACACAGCCTCGTCTCAACTTGGTTCTCACTGATTTATTGACCAAGTTGACCCATGCAGGACAGCACTCGCTGTTTTCTGTTTTTTGTTTTGAGGCAGAGTCTTACTCTGTCGCCCAGGCTGGAGTGCAGTGGTGCGATCTCGGCTCACTGCAACCTCCACCTCCCTGGTTCAAACAATTCTCTGCCTCAGCCTCCCGAGTAGCTGAGATTACAGGTGCTCGCCCCCATGCCCTACTAATTTTTTTGTATTTTTAGTAGAGATGGGGTTTCACCATGTTAGCCAGGATGATCCTGATCTCCTGACCTCGTGATCCATCTGCCTCAGCCTCCCAACGTGCTGGGATTACAGGTGTGAGCCACCACGCCTGGCCCACTTGCTGTTTTTTTGTTTGTTTGTTTTTATTTTTTTTTCCCAATTATAAATGAAACCCATTCATTCAAAACAGAATATCAATCTTCTCTCTCTCCAGGCTTCTGAGTAATTTTGGAAGGTAGCTCAGGATTGCATTCAGTGATGGGGATAGTTGAGATGAAATGGAGAAGCAAGAGGTCTGAAGTTGAAATCTCAGCCTCTCTATCACTGAGCCAAGTTAGTGGGTAGGAGTCACCCAAGTGTGCCTCTGTCTACACAATGAATAGCATTGAGTCGTGGGGCTCCTTGGGATCCAGAATCGGTGGTTACTAGAAAGTCAGGACACTCTCTCTGGGGACCCGTTGGCAGTCATTGTACAGAAAACATTTGTAGCAATGGCCACGACAGTGTAAGGTTTCTGTGCCACGTCTACAAACGCTGCCTTGCCAGCTTCTCCCAGTGGCCCTGGGCTGCTCTGATTCATGACAAGCACTTGGTCATTTGCACGAGAACGTCTGCACTGGGCTGACTCATCACGCCGTAAACGATGGCCTCGTCAGGAAGCAGGACTCAGAAACCAGGCTGAGCTTCCTTTATTGCCTTTTTTATGCTTTCCTATTGAAATCCATGCCTCAGGGAGCAAAGCTCTGATGTACCAACCTATATATATGCCAGTGCTCAAATAGCATTGAAGCTCTTTTTTGGTTAAAAAAAATTCTGGCTGTACAGCAAGTATCTGGGCAGCAAGAATTATATAAAAAGTAGATGGCCCCCCGTCTAGTCACCAAAATTTTCACATGAGAGTTTAAATTCTATAAAAACAAGCAATGAAGAATTTTAAAAAATATATTTTGCAAAACCATGGTAAAGAAAATAATAGTTTTATAATGTGTGGCTTCCCAAAGCCTTTTACGTAAGGATTGGTAGGATATACACTTTCTAGTATCATGAAAAAAATTCTGTTTCTAGACACATGTGTCTGCTTTCTCTCAATAACAAATTGAAAAAAAAACCAATACTATCCAGCTCATTTCCCTTTTTGCCTTGGCTGCCAAGAGGCTCAGAATCCAATTTAGTGCCCAGTCACCGCCACGCAACATAGCCCTGCTGTCTCTTCCTTCCAATCCGAGACTGAGCTGCCTCTTTTGAATCTTGGGCCCTGTGTAGGTGAGCTCCTCCACTGAAAACCCTGCCGCTCCACCTCCCCGTAGATGAGCATCTGTTAGGGGAATCTGCACAGGCTTCACTCGGATGGGATCAGTGACATCCATCCAAATTCTGATGTGTCCTAATAACACTTCTAGGATGTGGGGTAGAATGTATTTTTTAAAAGACACATCTATACTTTTTACAGGATTATCCAGTGATTTTTGGCATATTGATCAGAGACACAGACATGGATTCATTCTTTATTTTCTTTAGTGGCAAGAAAAGCAGAAATGCTTCAACTGAGGGTCGCCCAAAGCTTGGGACCTGAGATTGTGGGTGGCACCTCCTATCTCCAGGGTCACCAGAACCCGGGAATCAAAAAGACCCCCCACTGCCTGGCCTTCTAACAACCACCCAGCTTTTTAAAGTCTGTTCCTTGGGAACGTATGTCTCACTGAAAAAGGAAGGAAGGGCTACAATTTCTTTTCCAAAAAGTCTGCTAAAAGCACTGACTGTTCTATTTTTGTACAGTCAGGACACAGCCCCAAGCATTTTTTTATCCATGTCAGTGGAGGATGGTGTGACAGCAAAACGCCCTGCAAACAGGAAAGTGGGGCGGCCACGAGCAAGCCCAGCGGCTTGAACAGCAGCCCCCAGTCCACACCCAGGGCTCCAACCTTGCCTCCTTGTCGCCATTCAGATATCAAACTTGACACAGAGTGAGAGAGCACATGGGTGGGACAACAGATGGCCCACCCAGATTACGGGCCATTTAAAAGCACATTCTATAAGGGGGGTGCTTCTCAGCAGAGCGGAGTTAAAATTAAAAGGGCACCCGTACTTATTTGAAAAGAACGCAGAGGAATGGTGTTTGGAAAGAAGTCTCAAAGGGTACGGGGCTGGCAATGCATGCTTTATCTCTTTTAATAAATATGTTTACTCTTTAAATTAAGATACCAGTGGGTTTTTGGATCACTGGATGGGGACCTGCAAATCTGGCATTTCAAATGCTGTGAAAGCCCTCGGAGGCATCTGCAGAAGCTGCCATCAGTGATTTCTGCAGCTAGGAGAGATCGTGAGCATTTGGGGAAAGAGAATCTCATCTAATCCAAAGAAATGCATTATCCCTGAGGACAACGCTCCCATCCAACATCTGTGTGGCCCTTTTCCAGTCTGTTACCTTGAAGCATTTGGAATTGTCCATATTGGACCATGTTTGTCCAACAAGGGCACCAATTTCTTATGGCTCAATTTTTTTTTATTGAGCATCTACTATGCACCCAGCATCACTATAAACACTGAGGGAACAAGGATGAGTTAATGTCCACAGTGTCCAAGCTGCGCAGTATGCATTATAGCAGCAGTAGGAACTTGCAGGGAGCTATAAATTAACTCCCTGGTGTGAGCCCCCTACAGTACTCCCTCCCACGACATCCATGTCACAAACCAGCCATGCTATCGGTGACACAGTTACAGGTAATGTTTCCTGGGTGCTGTGTGCACCAGGTATGTTATCCTATTTAGTCCTTACAGCAATCCCAAGTAATAGGTTCTTCTAGGATCCCCATTTTACAGAGGACAAAACTGAGGCCTAGAAAGGTCAAGTAGGTAGTACATGGCAAAGCTGAACAATAAGAAATAGCAAAGTTCATTTGCCTTACTACTAAGCTTTCCTATCACCAGTAGTAGGCTGAATAACAACCTTCAAAGATATCAAGTCCTAATCCCTGCAACCTATGACTGTGACCTTATTTGGAAAAGGAATCTTTGCAGATGTGATTCAGTGAAGTATCTTCAGATGGAAAGATAATCCTGGATTTCCCAGGTCCACCCTAAATGCAATCACAAGTGTCCTTATAAGAGAGAATCAGGGGAGATTTGCACACAGACACAGACACACACACATGCACACACACACACAAAGGAGAAGGCAGTATGAAGCTGGAATAGAGAAAGAACAAAGATGTTCACCTTGAAGATGGAGTAGGGCTAGGCGTGGTGGCTCACATCTGTAATCCCAGAACTTTGGGAGACCAAAGTGGGCATATGGCTTGAGCCCAGGAGTTTGAAACCAGCTTGGGCAATATAGCAAGACCCCCATCTTTACAAAAAAACACAAACATTAGCCATACGTGGTGATGTGTGCCTATAGTCCCAGCTACTTGGGGGGCTGAGCTAGGAGGATCAATTGAACCCTGGAGGTGGAGGCTGCAGTGAGCCGAGATTGTGCCATTGCACTTCAGCCTGAGTGACAGAGCAAGACCCTGTCAAAAAACAAAACAAAACAAAACAAAACAAAAACAGAAGAAGGAGGGATGCGGCCACAAGCCAAGAAATGCCGGCAGCCACCAGAGGGCAGAGAGGCAAGGAATGGATTCTCCCAGAGCCTCTGGGGAGCACAGCCCTCCTGGCATCCTGATTTGGGCCCAGTGCTAACTACTTCAAATTTCTGGTCTTCAGAACTGTGAGAGGATACATTTCTCTTGTTTGAAGCCACCCAGTTCATGGGTCTTTGTTAGGGAAGCCCAGGAAACTTACATATCTCCCAATCCTTCTTTAACGAAATTTCACTGCAACTGTTCCTGTGGCTGGACAGCACAGCTTGGAGAGTTTTCTTTGTGTTGTAAAACCAACCAACCAACTTCTAACATGCTAAGGCCAATCTCTCTTTTGTTGGACAGACCTTGCGGTATTTTAAAACTAGAAATCTTCCTTCTACCCCTGACTCCTCTCTTCCAGGGTAGGCCCCTATAACTTGGTTTTTGGTTTTCATTAGCTAGAACACCCTCCTTTGGTCACCCTTAAATCGGGACCCTTTTCAGTGTCCCCCTTAAATGTAGCCTAGAAAATGATGCTCTTGACTCTGTGTTTGCATGACCCAAGGCCACAGTAATGTGGTTAATCTAAACTCCAGGCCCCAGAGCCCCTGCTCCACAGCCCTCCCCATCCACAGCTAGAAACACAAGTTCAGAACTTTGCCGCTATCTGGGTAAAGCACCCTGGGTTCTCCACGTCTGACAGTCTGGCCCTTGTTTCTTCTGGGCAGCCATGACTCATCTCTGGTTCAGCAGGGAAGGTGCCAGGGATGCTGTTTCCTTAGCAATGTGCAATTGGAATTCACTCTAAACTGCTGAACTGGAAACACTGGATTAGTGTGTCCTGCCCTATTAGAAGTGAAGCCAGGACCGCGCAGCCTCCCCTGTTTGTGTTTGGCGGTCGCTCGAGTGGCCGTGTATCCTGACGTAATCTGGCAGCTCACTGCGCCAAGCAACACGGCAGAGTGTGACTGCCAACAGACCTAACCGTAAATAGAATCTAATATTTTTCCAGATGACGGATGAGGGTAAAAATAACTATTCGGAAAATACCTGTTTTCTAACCTTCTGCGCTCACGAAAGGGACAGGATTCTCACCCTGGAAGCCACAGAGCAGGAATCTATAGACGGTTCTCTGCAGAACTTAGTGGGGTGCCGTGGGGTGTGCATGGGGTGCGAAGTTCTAAGTGGATCTCAAGGCCACGTGCTGCGGGGTACAGGAGTGTTCTCAGTGTTTTGCTGCCAGAGCTGGGCTGGAAATTTTTAACACCTGGAGATCCTTGGGATGACCACTGTGAAAACCTCTCTTTCCGTGACTGATCCAGGAAATGTTTGTGGAGTGCCTGCTCTTTGCGGGGCACCAGGGATTCATCTGCCAGAGGGCAGAAGGCAAGGCCACTCTCTCCACACAGCCTCATTCTGATAGGAGGAGAACATTCCTGGTGGTAGGGGGAACGTCTGACCCTGGAGCCCACCACATCCACAGCTGGCTCTGGGGACTGGTCCACTCCCTCCACCCCTCGCCCACAGGACGACGAGAAGAGCCAATCAGAACCTTAGGCTGAGCACGGGGGCTCCTGCCTGCAATTCCAACGCTTTATGAGGCCAAGGAGAGAGGATCTCTTGAGGCTGGGAGCTTGAGACCAGCCTGGGCTACTCAGTGAGGCTTCGTCTCTACAAAAAATTTAAAAATGAGCCAGCTGTGGTGGTGCACATCTGTGGTCCCAGCTACTCCAGAGGCTGAGGTTGGAGCCTGGGAGCTGGAGGCTGCAGTGACCGGTGATCACACCACTGCACTCCAGCCTGGGCGACAGAGTAAGACCCTGTCTCTACAAAAAATAAAATTAATTAAATAAATAAACCACAACCTTAGACTCCTTTTCCTAGTTGGGCTCTGGAACACCAAAGAAAATAATTCGAGTCTTCTGGAGCTCTACCGACTGTTGGTCCTAAGCACTCATGAAGGTGGGAAGGGCATGGCGGTTTCCCTGAGTGCACCAGGACAAAGGACAGTCCCTGAGGACGGGGGAGAGGCCGTCACACTCTCAGGCAGGTCCCCTCCAGAGGGCTGCTAGGGGAGATGATGTTGGGATGACGAGGGTGGCAGGGAGTCACGAACAGCTGGTTCATGTGCGTCTGCAGAGAACCAGCCTTGGGATCTTATGCAAGAAAATCACCTTCGCCTCCCTCAATTTCCTCTTCTGAAAAAATGAGCATAAGAAGAGTAGTTGCCTCTTGAGGTTATTCTAAGAATCTAAACGAAGCAATACCCACAGAGTGCTGAGAGCAGAGCCCAGTGTATGTGAAGTGCCGGCAACTGCCAGCCGTGCTGTTATTGTGAACAAAGGGATGGTCCTCACTGTTGAGTCCTTTTAAGGAAAAAGAACATGCAAATTAAATGATTAACGAATTCAAATTGGGTATAAAGAGATTCTCTGTAACCCTTGTCACAATGCTACAGTTTCAGACTCCTGGAAGCAACAGAAGTGCTCCCGTGAGGGGAAAGAATATGATATGATTGCTTTAGAAAGCTGTTAGTTTTCAACTACCAATAATTGTCATGGTGAAAACCAGGATTCTTCTTGGAAACTTTGTACACACTATAGGAACTGAAGAAAGCAGCTTATAAAATTACACATGCAGTGGGATTTAAATAAGGTTAAAAACACACAAAAACTTGTATTCAATAAGGTCAAAACCTGGAAAGAAACAGGAAATGGAAAGAGATGGGATCAGCGTTGCCTGAGAGACCCCCTGGGCGTCCACAGCCTCCTCCACACCAGGCTTTCCTTCCCTTAGCCTCTTCATAGTCAAGCTTCCCTGCAGGATTCTCAGTTGTTCTCTCTTCTTTCTCTCCTCCAGCTGTCTTCCTAACCTGGGCTGCTGGCTGCTTCCCTTCTGCTCTCCTGAAGCCGGCACCAGATCCCCGCAGTTCCCACGGGCGCTTTCCTGCTCCGCTGTTACCCACGCGTGTGCCCTCCCTGCTTGCCATCCAGCTTACTGCTTGCTTGCCTGGGGCTTACTGAGCCTTCCCTGCTGACCTGGCTGCACACGCCCGTCCAGCTGTTTTCCTGCCTTCCCCCTGTCCTCTGCAGCCTCTCCTCCTGCACTGACCTGGCACTGTTGGGGTTCTCTGGCCGCAGGCCCCAGGCCTCTTCCCTTCTCTCAGTCATGCCATGGTTTAAGTGTCACCTGGAGGCGAGTGACCCTGGACTCACATATGCAGCCCAGCCCCACCTCTGCGCTCCAGCACCATGTGTCCAACTCAGTCAGCATCCTGGCACCTCCACTCACTCCATCTCAGCTGTAACTATTACTGACAATAATAACAACAGCTCGCATCTTCCCCATCCACTCCAGTGGAAACACCCTCTACTCCATTGTTCAGTCAAGATATCTGGATTCCGTCTTCTTTCCTTTGTCCTCTTCTTCAGTGAATTAATCAGTAAGTTCCAGAGGTTCTACCTCTAAAATGTTGCCTGAATCCCTTTCTCCACCACCTTCTACACCCTAGACTCCTGCACGCAGTGTATCATCTTTATAGCGCCTTCCTACATTTCAGATTACACAGTGACTTCTTATTCCAAGCTGCTTGATGGCAGAGCCAATCCCGTGTGCCAGTCCTGGTTGGTACATCCCTCCCCACTCCCAACAGGGAGAGGCCTGGGCACGTTTTTCTACGTGCTTCCCCCCACGCCCAACCCGCTCTTCTGCTCCCCAGGCTGACCCCGCGATGCTAGGGACGGTCCCAGCTTATCCCCGTGGTTCCAATGCAGACATCAGTCATGCCCCTTCATGCGCTAAAATGTCTCCATTTCCACAATCCACTAGACGGACAGAGATTAGGACCTGCTTCTGCATGCTTCCATTACCAGCACCTAGCACAGTGAATAGCACCTACATCAACATTTCCTAAGCCAAAGAATGGAGGCAAGAGTGGCCCACTAGGAGACCAATGATGGTTGAGAGAACTAAGTGTATCCTGTGCCTGTGAGCCAGCTGTTCCCTCTCAGCAAGAAGAGTCTCTGTGGTCTGAAGACCATCTAGCCTTTGAAAAATGCCTTCACCCTTTTCCCGTTTCGAAGACAAAAAGGGCAGCTCACTGCCAACACTCATTTAATTTTACATCAACACACTCTTTGGGGCTAAAGCAAATCTAACTGATTTTCAATATGAAAATAAAATATAAAAACTGTTCTTGGAGTTATTTCTAAACAGAACTAACCTCAGAATCGTCTGAATCATCAGAATCGTCTATTTCAGAAAAACAGGTTCAGCAAATGAATCATCGGCCAACAACTTGTCTGAGAACAATGTTAACAACACACGTAGGAATGCTGTTTTCTAGGATTTGACATTTCCAGCAATCAAGAGTCACTATATTTTGTAAATGGAAACACCACTACTAAAAACAGAATGCTATAAGGAGAATTGTGTCTTTTGTTTCCAAAGTCGACATACCAGACTGATGCGAAAATAATAATAAAAGCAAGACATTTCATGGCAAAGTTATCTCGGGGCAAATGCTGCAGCTGCAAGCACAGCTGGTGAGTATTCCGGGGGCAAATGGGAATTAAGCCATTCCCACACCATCTGAGAGAGCCCAGCCGTTACCTTCCCACTCCAGGGAAGCCGTTACCTTCCCACTCCACGTTGAGCTTCCGCGGAGACGTGGCTGGAGCTTCCTGGTGACAGACGCACTGGTACGAGCCCTCCAGGTTTGCGCACAGTTCCCTTCCAGAACAGGCGTTGAGCTCCTCGTAGAAACACTCATTGACATCTACAGGGACGGACAGCAGGACCCACACTCAGCAGTTGCTGCCACCTCGCCGTCCTCATCTACCTGCACACATGGCCTTTGTGGACTCCTGCCATGGATTTGTGCCACGTCGGTGGAGGGGTGCCTTGGGCAGTGGGCCCAAGAGGGACTATGGGAGCCTCATCTTAGAGGGCCCCGAGCGGCTGCTGGCCATCTTCATCCAAGCAGTGGCCCACGTGCAGGCAGGGCTCGTGGCTAGCTCACCGGGCAGCCTCACATGAGCAAATCACTCTGGGCTGGACTGAGACTGGGTGGTCATGAAAAGACGGGGCCAAAACATCCCATCCCAAGGGTAAAGCAAATTGATGGGTATTTTCTGTGCCAACAAGGAAACCCAGAGTCACCCCTGACATTCTGAGGCTGGCCCAGGCCTCCCAGACAGAACCATCTCACAGCAACCAGCCTCTTCATAATGCTGTCGAAGCACAGACAGTGATAAGCTCATGTGTCATCCACAAAATACTAACGCCCCTCTCTTGGCCCAAATGAGTGATTATTAGTTCTTCACAAATTATAGCTTATGTTTATGCAATTGTGCCCGTCTCGTTTGCTTAGATGTACTGAGATTCCCAATCGTGGAGTTGCCTTCATTTCCTGACAGCATTCAATTCAGAACAAAATCACACTTCCCTAGACCCTCCCCAAACTACCCGATCACAACCCACATCCTGTAACAGTTTCTTTCTAACAATCTCTTACTGAGAGACCTCATGGTTTTCCATGGTATGGGTTCTCCCTTGCTGCCTCAAATAATAAACTCAACTGGTCCACCCACAGGTGTGCTCCTGCAACCTCTGGCCGAATGTCATTGACAGAGCGGATGATAGAACGAACACTTTGCTTAATGGCACTAGAGCAATGCAGTTTGGTTTTGAAGAACGTGTGTGGATCTGAAGGGAGATCACTGCAATCGCTAGAGCTTTCACATGGCTTTGAGCCCTGGCATTGTCACGTGCCTCCTCAGTGTCATACAAGAGGCTTCACCAAGGCAGCTACCCTCCCGCAAAGCCGTGGGAGCAGCAGACTAGCCTGGCTGCCTCCTGCTTGGGTACAGGAAGCCGTACAGGAGCCTGGCGGTTTGCTTGCGGACTGTCTGTGGCTGCTACCGCAGCAGGGCTGAGTCGTTGAGACAGAGGCGACGTGGGCCCACAAAGCCAAAAATATTTACTATCTGGTTCCTTTTAGATGAGGTTTGCCAATTCCTGACATAGGACGACGACGACAAAGAATAGGTAATTTCTTCCAGAAACAAGGCCTCGTCTATGTGCTTTGCCAGATACAAACTCAACTTTAGACAAATGCTGCTGAAGGAGCCTTTGGAGTACAAGGATGTCCTTGGCAAGGGTGGGAAAGAGGCGAGAGGGAAATTCAGGAAACCAAAGAACTGAAGAAACAAGTTCGTTGTGTGTGGCTCTGGGATTTGCCCTCCAGTGTCCACTAGGATGGAAGGAGAAGCCTGCCGAGGGGGAAGGAGTCCAGAGGGATCTGAGGAGAAATGGAGGGAAGGGGAGAGGGGCCAGAAATGGGGGAGCAAAATAAATTCTCGAGGTCTGTACTTGGGGACTTGGAGTTTACAGGGTGAGCTGAAGGCAGATCCCACACCTGTGGGATGAACACACTTGAACCAGTTATTCTTTCACTCCTGAACTTAAACCTCCTTTAAAAGACAAAGGACTGGTCTGACTTTAGCGTCCACCTTGCATTTTGACTGTTCAGGCCCCACCCTGCAGCCTCCCCAGAGGGAGGATCGAGGGAAGCCCAACCTTGCACCTGGACGCTGATCACTTCATAGACACGCTTCGCAATGTCACCCAGCAGGGCAGAGACATCGGCCACAGGCAGTGGCTGCAGCAGGCCCAGCAGCAGCCGTGACACCGTGGTGGAGGTGTCCCCAGGGGCCGAGTGCAGGTGGTGGATGGTGGAGGCCATTGGTTGCAGGGCGCTGGTGACCTGTGAAGCCAGAATCAGAGCATCACACAGCAGAAGGACACCCTGTCAGACAGACAAGGAGATTGAGGCCCACAGAGTTGAAGTGAACTGTCCACACACACACACCATTCTGCTCCTCAGCAAAGAACCTCTACAGTACTTATACATCCGTCACTAGCCTAATAAAAGTCCTACAAACCAGAACTATCAATACCTTTTAGCACCAGTTGTGATAAGCTGAATTCTGTCCCCTAAAATCCATATGTTGAAGTCCTAAGCTCCAGCACCTCCGAATGTGACCTTATTTGGAAACAGGGTCACTGCAGATCTAATTAGTGAAGGTGGGTTCTAATCCAATATGGCTGGTGCCCTCATAAAAAGGGGAAATGTGGACACAGAAACAGATATGAATGGGGGGAAGACAGTGTGAAGAGACGGAGAAGACGGCTGCCTGCAGGCCAGGGAGAGAGGCCCGGAGGCCTCAGGAGGAACCAGCCCTGCCGACAGCTTGATTTCGGACTCTTCAGTCCCCAGAACTGTGAGAGAGGAAGTTTCTGTTGTTTGAAGCCCCCAGTCTGTGGTCCTTGGTAACGGTGGCCCCAGGACACTAATACAGCAGCCAGCCCCAGGACCCTCGGTCTCCCACCCTTGCCAAGACTGCAGCTCTCTTGCAGCTGACGACAGAGAATTAGAACTAGAATTAGACAATTTGAGATCACAAGCCACGGTCTCCTGTTGTGTACATCCAAACATCCAATTACTTTTTTGAGGTTTAATGATCACTTTCCTCATTTCAAGGCATTATTTTTATTTCAGTTTAATATCTTGAATCTCAACCCTTGGGAAGCCAGGCGAACCGGCAGCTGCACAGCCAGACCAGCGGTCACCAAAACAAACTTTGTCAGCAAACCCCCGAGTCTCCACTGGGAACACCGAAGGAGGTTTGGGGAGAGCTGGGGTCCTCTGATACACACTTGAAGCCTCTTCCTGGGAGGAGATGCAACTCGTCATTTAGAATACAGAAATGGGAACCAGTCCCGGCCTCATTGGAACCCCTTATTCAGCAGCAGAAACAGGCCTCGGAGCCCAGCCCCTGCTGCCGCCTAACCCCTGGGCAAGGCAGGCGCTTCTACAGGGGGTAATGGGCTGGTTGGAGACACGAAACCTGCATACATGAGGAGACAGCAGGTGGCACACAGCAATAGTGAAAACACAACAACCACAACATCTCTGGCCCCACACATATCAGGAAGCTCAGGAACCATCCTGAGCTCTTTACATGTATGATTTAAACTCATGGGCTCTGTCTCAGGCCGGGTTGTGATTATTTCTATTTATTTATTTATTTATTTATTTATTTATTTATTTATTTACTTACTTACTTACTTACTTACTTACTTAGAGACAGAGTCTTACTTGTAGCCCAGATTGGAGTGCACTGGCATGATCTCGGCTCACTGCAACCTCCACCTCCCGGGTTCAAGCAACTCTCCTGCTCAGCCTCCCCAGTAGCTGGGATTACAGGCAGGTGCCACCACACCTGGCTAATTATTGGACTTCTAGTAGGGATAGGGTTTCGCCATGTTGGCCAGGCTGGTCTTGAACTCCTGACCTCAAGTGATCCGCCCTCCTTGGCCTCCCAAAGTGCTGGGATTACAGGCATGAGCCACCACTCCTGGCCGGTTATTTATATTTAATGGAGGCGGTATCTCAGGCGCAGAGAGGTTAAGTGACTTGCCCAAGGTCACACAGCTGATAAGTGGCAACACTTGGGCCAGGCAGTGCGGCTTCAGAGCTAGCTTCTTACTGGCCAGTTGGACAGCCCCTCAACAAGCTAAGAGGAGACAGGAATCACTCCTAGCCCGGGCTGTTAAGACTGAGACTGCAGACTACCTGTCTAGCAGCTCACTGGCCAGCAGCCCAGAACAACGGGAGGTGTGCACCATCTGATCTGGGCTCCCAGCCAGCTTAGTCTAAAGGCCAAGGAGTGCCCCAACCCTGGGTCTAACACCAAGACACCCAGGCACACGTGGGACACACAAAAGATCTGAAGCACAGAAGAGCTACACAGATGCCGAAGGAAAATGCAGAGCCCTTTGTCTGAAAAGCGTTCAGCATTTCCAGAGCCAACGGCAGCACTTTAGACCAAGCTGAGCCCCTCTGAGCACCGGCCCCTGTCAGCAGCCGGCCCTAGAGTCAGACCATCCCCCAGGGAGGGCCGCCTTGGGGGCACGCAGTGCCCTGTCCATGCTGGAATTCCCGAGACTGATGGTGGCCTGAGCTGGAGAAGACATCCTGGTTGGCAATCACTGCTGATGGGCCAGAAAGTGTGAGCTGTGTCATCAGCAGGGGTCAGCAAGGGTGTTTGTTTTTATCCCCAGGGGACAGTGGGTGACATCTGGAGACAGTTTTGCATGTCACCCTGGGGCATGCTTCTGACTTGTGTGGAGAGGCCGGGGCGCTGCTAACCATGGGACCCCAGGGTGCTCGCCAGCCCCAGGCTACAGCTCCCATCTCCGCACTCCCAGGATGGTGCCGGCTTCCATGAAGCAGGAGCCAGAACTTGAGAACTTTGGGAGTGAGGGTGGTGAGGGAAGAGCTTGGGGCTTAGGCTGTCTTTGCTGGGACTCCAGACTCCTGCAAGCTTAGGGATCCGCGTTCTCCACCACAACAGGTGGGCCTACGAGGGTACACACATCACAACTCAGCCAACTAGACGCTTCAGTTGTGTGCATGTTGTTGCATGTAAATCATACCTCTTTGAAGCTGATTTGTTTAAGAATTAGAATTTGGTTCACAGTCAGTCATTTGGGGCCACTTGTGGAACATCACCCTCCCCATCCCCAGGTCCCTTCCACGGCCCCACACCTGGGTCTGCCTGAGCAGCTACTGAAAGGAGCGTGCAGGGAGCCCCTGTCTTTCTCACCTACCAAGGAATGCAGAAGGCGCATGTGGTTCAGGAGCCTGGGGTCCACTTGCTGGAGTTCCTTGAAGTCCATTTTCACCAGTATGGTGACGTTGTACCAGGAGCCCACGGGGCCCTTCTCTGGAGCTGCACAAGGGCAAACACTGATGATTATGGACCCAGGACAGGTTGAAGTCACAAGAGCCGCTGTGGTGGGAGAGGGGGCAGGAGAGGGAACCAGAGGCCATGAGAGGCCCTGCTCTGCATTTACCTCCCTGCAAAAAGACATCTACCACAGGAGACGGGGGGGATGTCCCCACTATCTGCCCCTCACTCCTCTCCATCCTAATGTCCCTGAAGACCACTGATTCCTGCTCAGAGGTGAGCTGGGCCTGGGACCCACAGCAGCGGGCCTTGCCTTGAAGAGATCTGCTTAGGAGGTAAGTAGAGCCTATCAGCATCACTATACTGTCATAGTATGTTGATATAGAAAATTACTTTATACTGTGTCATTATTTTATTGATACTACAAATATTGGATAGTATAATAATATGTAATATGATATGTACTAAAGAATAGCATGTAATGTAATGATATAGTATTATCACATAATACTTGATATTATGTATACTATTGCTTTATTACTGCATACCATACTGCTATAATATATTTTAAATATATAAATATTTAAATATATTTTTATATTTTTAATTTTTAATTATTTTTATATAATATGTATTTAATATATAATTAATATTAATTAAGAATATATAATATGTATATGTACATATTAAATAATATGTATAAATATTAAATTATGTGTGTGTGTGTGTATATATATATAATATATGTATATAGACCATCCCATTCTCCTGGATGCAGACCCTAATCGAAAGAGAACTTTCCAGACCGGCAGGCGCGCATATGAGGCGGCAGGACCTGCCTACGACGCTGTGGCGCTCCTCAGGCCCCTGTGGCACTACAGGCCCAGCCAGCTCCACACCTGTGACAAATCTACCTAGAGCTCCTGGCCTCTCCAGGCAAACTGGGAAATCCGGGTCTCTGCCCCACCAGACGTGTCTTCCCATTTCAGGGCCCCTGAGAGCGCCATGAGCTTTTCCTCCCCGAGAGTTCAGGGGCCAGATTTTGACTAAGAAATTATCTAAGAGCAGGCGCTGCCTGTGCACACAGTGGGGGCTCCTGGTGAAATCGGTCGCTGCTCCTAGAAACACACTCCTCCCCGCACCTTCACACAGATCAGCCTCTCCGAGACCCGCCCTTGCTGCCTATCTGTGAGCACGGCCTGCAGCAGCCTACCTTGGGGTGCAGGGGCCATGCAGCAGCGCCCCCCTGACCAGGGGCAGCACTTCTCAAGTCCACGACAGTCGGTGTCCAAGCTGCAGGGGGAGGTGGATGGTTCAGGCCCCTCTGCGGGGCAGACCCCGGGTCTTGATGTGAACTCCCTGGACTGATTCAGAGCTGGGAGAAAATGGTACAGTTAATGATGCTGGTGATAAAAGATGAACCTGATTTGCTTCACAGGGGCCTCATGTCGGTGCTTCCTGGTGCTGAAGTCTGCCTGTGGGTCTGTGGCCTGTTCAGGGCCCATCCCCATGCCTGGGCAGACATCCACCCCATTGGAGGGCCGCTGGCTTTGGCTTTCATATCCTCTGCCCATCTGCCTTGCCAGGGCAGCTTCAGTTGAGGTCCTAGGTGTCTCTGTTTCCTCCAGGCCTCAGGAGTCCAGGTCCAAGAGGCTCCACCACCCCCTAGAGGGCTGCTTGCTGTTTCCAGTCCTGATAGCTCATTCATTCATTCATTCATTCATTCAATATTTGTTGAGCACCTACTATGTGCCAGGCACAATCCCAGGTGCCCAGGGCCCAGCCTTCAGGGAACTTACATTCCAGTGGGGGAACAACAGTGCAAGGCGATCTACAGACATTCAGACAGGGTGAGAGCCTTGGGGGATGAAGCAGTGTGGGGGATGGAGGTCTGGGAAGGCTGCTCTGGAGAGGGGCTCGTGCCTGGGCTGGGCAGAGGGGAGCTCGGAGCAACCCTGCAGACATCAGCCCTGGCGCCCACGAGGTGAGATACAGGCCTGGTGTAGGGTGTGGTGGAGGCTGGCCCAGGTGACAGTGCAGACGACTGCAGCATGGGACCCTGGGGAGATCAGGTGGGGGCGTCCACAGGATGTGCTGACAGATGGGATGGAGTGTAAGAGAAGAATAAGCTTCAGGAAGGCTCCCAGGCTTTGGGGCTGGCATCCCTGGGGCTCCATTCCTGAGCTGGGGAAAGCTGTGGGAAGAACGGCCTGGGGTAGACCAGGTGTGGCAGCACAAATGTGAAGCTGGACACATTCACTGTTTGCCCACGTGGAGACGCACGGCAGAGTGGCACTGGAGGTGGCCACCGAGGCCAGCCCGCCGGCTGTTGGCTGCACAGCTCCCCAGCCCCTCACAGTGTGAGTGCAGCTCAGATGCAGCTCCAGACACAGAAACATGGTGAGCCTCTGCAGGAGGCAAAGATGAGGGGGGCAAGAGGCCAGCCGGTGGGGTCCCCATGGGAGGTACGCTGGTCCTGGGGACCAGACCTCAGTCAGGGCTGCAGAGGGAGGCCACGGTGGGCTTTCCAGAAAAGGGGCTTGTAGAGCTCTCAGCAAGCACTGCAGGAGTCTGAGAATCCACCCAAAGCGGAGCTGTCAGGAGTCCGGGGGCTGACGCTCAGGGCTCCGAGAAACACAAGAGGAGGGCAAGGAGAAGAAACTGAACCCCAGGGGACAGGAGACAGCGGAGCCTGTGCCCAGTGCCGCAGAGCCTGCAGTGTGCCTTTGCCAAGACAGCAGAGGTGGGCCCAGGGCAGGAGACGACCCCATCTCCCAGGACGGAAGGAAGCTGAGAAGACGGGAGCTCCACGAGGCAGAGGGCAGCCATGAGGAGGACACACAGGGAGGAGGGACCCAGTTCAGGGCCCCAGAGAAGGCTTGCCCCGCTCTGTGGCCTCCATAGTCAGCCATCCTGATGGTGGGTGCCGTGCTCCCCCTGGGGTTTTACTCAGAGCTGTCCAGTTCATGCCCAGATGCATAGCAAGCTTTGTGTGTCTATGGCCCGGGGATGTTTAGAAGCACAGCCTGAGACCTCTCAGAGCCCAGAAGACTAGAGGAGGCCAGCTGGTAACTGGGTCCGAGACTCACCTCCACGAGGGTGGGGAAAACTTGTGGGATTGGCCAAGTGGAAGGGCAGCCTCAACAGGCTGCAATCCCAGGGACCGGCCTCTTGGGTCCCCCAGGGTCTCTGCAGAGCACTCCGCAACCAAGAAAGAAGGTGGTGGCCCTGGTTTCTGTTGGGACCACATCACCAAGGACACTGCTCAGCTGGCCAGAGTAGGGGGAGCCAGAGTCGTGGAATATGCGGACAGACTGCATCCCCGCTCTTCTCACACAGCCCTGTCTGCCAGCGCCCGGCCTTGCTGTGGGCATTCCTCTCAGCCACACTCTCTTTCTTGCGTTGTCCCTGACTCAGTCTTCTTCTCCTCATCATCCAGGCAGCTCTACCAATGGCCGTGCATGAAAAATGAACGTTGGGTGCAGCTCGAGGAGGGCAATGTCAGGAGCCTGGTGGAGGCTTGCTGAGCGTCTGATGGTCTCTGCTTTGTCTCCCAGTGCAAAAAGCAAAGGCCTAAGGGTTAAGCAGATGTGTGGACTAAATGGAAGGTGGGCTCCTGGGACAGAAAAAGACATTCTGGGGAAAGCAGGGATATCCAAATAAAGTATGGAGTTTCCTGGCAATGCCCAGTGCCGGTTCCTTAGGACAAGCTATCCCAAGAGCTGTAAGATGCTAACGTTAGGGGAAGCTGGGTTGGGGGGTACAGGACCTTTCTGCATTATCTTTGCAGAAAGATAAAGACTTCCCTGCAAATCTAAAACTATTCTAAACTAAAAGGCTATTTAAATAGAAGTAATCCCCCCAAAATTGGCTTCCAAAAATAGTTGCCTAATCACCAGAGGCGTGTTTTTGAGTGAAAGGTTTGCATCTTAACTGGGCACTGCCGGGAAGCCCCTCCATGCCTTGGAGCCGGCCAGCTGACTGAGTGCCCTGAGAAAGCTGAACAAGTCCAACTTGGTAGAAAGTCAAAAATCTCCTTCTTCCCTAACTCAATGCGAACAATAAAAGAACTGCTCAGCTCCCAGCAACACTGTTAGTCATGGTCCAGTGAAGCAACAGGGGAGCTTTCTGTTGGAGCAGTAAAACCCAAGGCTCCCAGGGCTGAGGACTGGATGAGCTGGGGACGAGTCGCTCCTGTCTCCCTCCTCCTTCCTCAGCGCCTCTTCACCTGGTCAGGACAGGAGGTTCTCACCAAAGGGCCCCTGGTCATCAGCCTGCGAGGACAAGAAGTTTTGGGGAGTCTCCTGGTCCCATGGGGTCCTGGATTTGCCTAAAAAGGTTGAGTTTGCCAGGAGGTTGATCCTGTGCAGAATTGGGGTGTCACTGGAGTTAGGGAGCATGGCTAAGATGCTGGGTTCCACTTCTCAGAATTCATCCTGAGCACATAATCCAACTTGTACACAGCCACGTTTGTACCGTATACTGTTCATCACAGCATTACATATGCTAATGAGTAATTAGAAACAACTGAATGTTAAGTGGCAAGAACTTGCTCAGTGAATGCTGATGTGCGTATGAGGTAATGCCATGTGGTCGTAAAAGCATGCAGTGGAGCCATGTGTATGGACATGAAAGCTGCTGTGGATACATTGCTGAGCGGTAAAATCATGCTACAAACGTCTTGGACACAGTGGCCATCCCCTTGTGAAATGTCTGCCCTGGATGAAGAATATGTGAAGGGTGGTTATTCGTGAGCAGCAGGCTTGGGATCGTTTCCTCCTCCTGTTTTCTGTGTTTCCAAATTTTCTGCATGGCTCATGTATTCATTTCTGTAATTATGCTTTTAAAAACTTAAAATAATGCACCAGGTGTCATTGCGTTCCAAATGCTGGAATGAAAAAGTTGAAAAAGTCACTGAAAATCATATCACGTGTGTGTTGATGCTTCCCTTCGCTTTTTTGCGTAAGTCATGATTGAGCGGGAGGGGAAAGGAGGAACCATGTCTGGCGTTTTGCCACTGTCTGGGGGATAGGACTCCGAGGCGCAGACCCCCGGGCAGCTGAGGTGTGAGTCACCCACACTCAAGCGACCTGGAGGCCCCGCTGCAGAGGAAGGAGCATCTCCTGCCCTTCACACCTCCCAGTATTTCCAGGTGCCTCCAACATCTGCCAGGTCCAGCTTCAGGCCTGCCTCATTCTTTACAAATCAGAGTTGCAGTGCTCAACAGGTCACTTACTGAGACCATCTCACGTCCAGCTCCAAGGGGTCAACCTGCCGTGCGGCATCCCAGAAAAAGTGGCTTGGATCAAAAGAGCTGTGCAAGCATGGAGAAGATTGTGCTGCCAAAATCCAGGGTGTAAATCTGCCCACCACAGGCACCTTCACACTACCAGCGTGATGTCTCTGACCTTGGGGCTGGGAAGAGATGGAGGCTCACGGGATACAGGCCCTCCAGCAGCAGGAGCTGCAGAAGCCTCGTGGGCTATGCCCTTCACCAGGCCCCGGCACAGGCAGGGACCTTTCTGAGAAAGAACTCCGTGTCCTCAGTGCCCTGAAACGTTCCTTCTCCCACAATCGCCACAACCACAGCATTCAAATGCCACAAACTCCTCTACACTAAAGTGCAGCTTGATAAACCCCCAAAAATCTGCCTGGGGGTCAGAGAGCCCCAGGTCCATGTCCCAAGCCAGGCTTCCCAGAGCTGTGCCATGGTGGTGGAGGCGCAGGCTTCCCCTAGCCTGGATCTCCACCTGCAGAGCCAGGGATGCCTATTCCTTTGGCACCTGAGGGATTGGAGGGTCTTCTGCCCTGGCCTCTTAGAAAGAATGCACTCAGGCAATGCCTGTTCCCCTCCGTCTTCTCTTCCTTCCTCCTTCTAGGTCTGCCCCCTCTTCGCTGTGCCAGAGTGAGTTTTCTAGAACCTGAGGGGCCATGTACTGAGGGGCTCAGGGCCCGCAGAGTGAGTCCACTTCCCCTCATGCCCCACGTCCCTCCCTGTGGCCTCGCCCTCCACTCCCTGCAGCTCCCCATGGCAGCCCACTCTCACCCATGGGACTCCCTGACTGCAAAAGCATCGCCCGGGTGAGCCCCTGATTAAAGGTGCTAACACTCTAACAGTGCGGCTGATTCCCACAAGAGGCAGCTCCTGGAGGCTGTTCTGTGGAGGAGGATGAAGGGCAGGTGGTGGGGAGGGGCCTCCCTGTCTTCTGGGAGGGAATTAACTTGTTTGTTGCAGCAGGCCAGGGTCTCTTGCAGAAGGTGATGGTGGGCATGGGTGGGGCTGGTGTGGCCCTGCAGAGCAGGGGGCAGGAAGAGGCTGCTGATCGGCCTCCCCCAGAGCCTCCTCCCCTCACTAGTCCTGACAATGCCAACAGGTAGGAAGAGGTGTGGCCTCCACAGGTAAGACAGGACAGGACAGGGCATGTCCTGGCTGCAAAGTCCACATGCTCTAAACCAAGGTGCCGTGGCATCAGCACCTGTGTCCTAATGGCCCCCGCCATCCACTAGGAGTGGAGGCTGCTTGCAGGGCAAGGACAGCAGCAACTGTGGCTCAGCAGGCCCCTCTGTGTGTGTGGCCCTCGGAGAAAGGGAAAGTGGAAATGGGGTCAGGCAACAGGACAGGAAGGGTCTCCTTAGACCAGCACCTGAGCAGCATGGCCAAGGCATAGCCTTGTCCTGCCGGTGGCCCTCTAGGGAACCAATGGGAGTACAGAAGGGCCATTGCTCTGGGGTCAGCTGGCCCCGCCGGGTTTCTATTGGTGATGGAGGTATTGATCATGGTGGTATTGTTTTAACACTCCTGAAAGAGAAGCGTGCCTGTTAACAGCACACCCGAAACCATCGGGCCCTGTCTGTGCCCTGCCCTTTGAACGGGGCAGCAGAAATGCGGCAACTCTCCCTGTCATCTGTGAAATCGCACTGGGGGCTGAGGGAGGGCCCACTCAGGATGGCCCAGCATGCAGGTCTACGTGGACCCCAGACTCTGCAACCTGGGCCCTCGGTTTCTGGAGGAGGCAGGCACCCTGGTTTGGGGAGTCCGTGCTCCGTTCTGCTGGTGTCCTGGTCTCAGGCCACAAGGATGGGTCCTGTAGGATCCCCCTTGGGGCACCCAGGAGCTGGTGGCTTCTGCAGTCTGGAGGCCACAGCCCTTGTGTCTCAGTGACCCTGGCCAACACCAAGCTGGAGCCACACACCCCCATGTCCTTCCACAGTGGGGCTGTGAGGCAGGACCTTCTGACTATACAGAAACTCATTGCAGATCTGGTATTGACTCGAAATTAGCAACCACTAAACACACACACACACACACACCTCCCCTGAAAGAGATCACCTGCGTGTCAGTAGGCTGAGCCCTGAGTCCCCGCCCCCTCCCAACGGCTCAGACCCTGGCCTGGCCTAACCGCACTGGTCACCCTGGTAACTGACCCCAAGCATCCTACAGGACAGCAGCTTTCAAACTGCACTGAGAAGCAGGAGGACTTGGGGCCCTCTGAGAACAACAGAGGTTCTCAAAGTGGGGTTCCTGGGCCAGCAGCATCAGTGTCACCCAGGAACTTGTCAGGAGGGCAAATTCTTGTGCTTCACCCCCACCCACGGACTCAGAAACCTGAGAGTGGGGCCAGGGACAAGCCCTGCCGATGACCCTGCTGCCTGGTCAAGGCTGGGAACCGTGCTCCTGGAAGATCTAGCAAGTTCCGGGCCAATGGGTGCCAACGGTGACTGTCCCATCAGGAGTCTCGACGGCAAGGGTGGCCCCGCCCCAGCCCGGCAGCCCTGGACTCACGCAAGACACAGTAGAGGCCGAGCTGCTCGTAGCCCTCACAGCAGTCGGTCACATTCCTGGACTCGGGAACCTCCACTACCAGGTACTGGGTCCGGTAAACAGTCTTGGGGCACCGCCTCCAGGGGATCCAGCCACCGCAGGACGCATAGGTCATGTAGGACGTCTGCACAGCCTCCACCTTCTGCACAGTGTGGGTCACACGGTAGCTGCACAGCCGGTAGCCCAACAGGGAGAGGCCTTTTTCTAAAAGAGGCAAGCAAGGAGGCGACTGAGAACACCAGGATCAGATCCATGCGAGCGGTTATCCGCAAGGCGTCCCTCTGCAACAGCAAGCGAGACCACACCTCCTGCACTCGGGCAGGCCTCTCGGAAGCTGCCCACCAGCCCTCTCCACCGGCCTTTGCCTGCTAGTGCACCAGGAAGGCTGTTGCATGAGTGAGCGCAGAAGAATAAAGCATCGACATAGCCTGGCCTGCTAAGAAAGCCGCCGTGACCGAGGGGGAGGTGCCACCTGGGCCCCACGCACGCTTCCTGAAGCACAGGGGTCTCACAGCCAATATACGAAGGAAAGAGCACAGCACTGGAATCAACGCTTAGAGATCGTGTCCCTTTGTTCTGCTCTGTGTGGGCTCATTCCATAGGCCGTAGAATCTCATGCACGTCTATCTCTTCGTGCCCCTGAGCCTCAAGGTTGCCACATGCGAAGTGAACGAGCAGCAGTTCCCGCCACAGTGGAAACTGAAGGATACTGCGGCCAGGACATGACAAAGACGGCTTTCTTTTCAGTGAGGTGGAAGATAAGTAAGCAGGTACTTAAAGCATGTGTGAGAAGTTTGTTGATGATAAAAGACCAGCTCAGGCCAGGTGTGGTGGCTCACGCCTATAATCCCGGCACTTTGGGAGGCTGAAGTGGGCGGGTCGCCTGAGGTCAGGAGTTCGAGACTAGCCTGGCCAACATGGTGAAACCCCATCTCTACCAAACATATTTTTTAAAAATTAGCTGGGTGTGGGCTGGGAGCAGTGGCTCATGCCTGTAATCCCAGCACTTTGGGAGGCCAAGGCGGGCAGATCGCCTGAGGTCAGGAGTTCGAGACCAGCCTGGCCAACATGGTGAAACCCCATCTCTACCAAACATAGTTTTTAAAAATTAGCTGGGTGTGGGCTGGGAGCAGTGGCTCATGCCTGTAATCCCAGCACTTTGGGAGGCCAAGGCGGGCAGATCAAGAGGTCAGGAGATCGAGACCATCCTGACTAACACGGTGAAACCCCGTCTCTACTAAAAATACAAAAAATTAGCCAGGCATGGTGGTGGGCAGCTGTAGTCCCAGCTTCTCGGGAGGCTGAGGCAGAAGAATGGCGTGAACCCAGGAGGTTAAGGTTGCAGTGAGCCGAGATTGTGCCACTGCACTCCACCCTGGGTGACAAAGAGAGACTCCCTCTCAAAAAAAAAAAAAAGCCAGGTGTGGTGGGGCGCACCTGTAATCCCAGCTACTTGGGAGGTTGAGGCAGAAGAATTGCTTGAACCCAGGAGGCTGAGGTTGCAGTGAGCCTAGATCATGTCACTGCACTCCAGCCTGGGCGACAGAGCGAGACTCCGTCTCAAAAAAAGACCAGTTCAACTGTTCTGCCTTTACCATTGTGACCAGGAGGAGGCACAGTCACCCCCGCTGCAGGACAAGCATCAGATTTACCATATCAGGCCCCATGCATCTCTCACCAGAGCCTGGTTCCTGTACACAAGGCCCATCACCCCTCCATCAACGTGATTACTCCTTTCTCGAGACCCCTGGCCCCATCGCATTCACCACAAGACTCTTTGTCATGGACATCCCCTGACGTGTGCCTGGGCTTCCCATCTCCGCGGGAGAACCCTATTGCCTAATTTGAATCGATTGTGTTCCTCTAAAAATTCGTATGTTAAAGTCCTATACCCCAGTAACTCAGAATGTGACCTTATCTGTAGTAATGTCTTCTGGAGGTTATCAGGTTAAAGTGGAACATTAGGCTGGGCCCTAATGCAATATGACTGGCCCTTATACTAAAGGGAAATGTGGAGACAGACAGGCACACAGGGAGAAGAAGGTAGAGACTGGGGTGGTGCTTCTACTGTCAAGGAACACCAAAGATTGCCCCAGAAGCTGGAGGCCCGGAGCAGACACTCCTGCAGGGGCTCGGGAGGAGCCAGCCCTGCCCGCAACTTCATCTTAGGCTTCTGGCCTCCAGAACTGTGACTGAATCCGTTTCCGCTGTTTCTGCCACCCAGGCTGTTTCTTTGTTCCAGCAGCCCTAGCCAGTGAACACAGGGATGGTGAAGGGTCCTCTCCAGCTCCCCTGTGGCACCTAGCAGGGGACTCTGAGTATACGGACTCTCAGTGCCTAATGAACGGAGGATTTGACATACAGGGCTTGCATTTCAGACACTCAACCCCTGAGCTCTAAGCTTTACTAGACTGTACAGCCAAGAGGTGGGGGCTCAGTATTACAGTTTATTTCCCTCAATGAGTAGCCGGATTGATTTCTGGGGAGGAACACAGAGATGGGAGCAGAAATGATCACAAAACCAATGCTGTCCTTATTCCCTCCACTGGGGCAGCATCTCTGAAGATTCCCTCCTTGAACCTCACAGCAACCTATAAGTGTGCAGAAAGCGGGACTCCGGGGGCTTGTTACTCACCCCAGGAAGAAACAGGGCAGAGCTGGCCCTCAAACCAGGTGAGGGAAGAGGCTGCAGCTTTGCTCTAGGCGGAACACAGGTGCTGGACCACACGCTTGCGCAGAGCGACCCCACTCCACAAGCAACAGGGACTGGAGCCGCAACCTCCTCTGGGGTCTGAACCCCAAATCACCCTGCGGGCTCAGCAGGGCCTCTAGGGATGGGGACCACCTGCTGTTTGCCATCACCAGTGGGGTAGTTACTGTGAGCTCTGCAAAGGAATGGGAGGTCCTTGTCGTACGGGGTGGAACAGGACAAATCAGCTTCCCGGGCCAGGGTAGCTTGGCTGAGAGCCTAGAGGTGACTTGCATGAGGAACGGTGGAATGTGGCCAGAAGGAACGCGCTCACCTACTCAGTGACCACGCTGAGCAAGGCAAAGGCCAAGGACTTCCTGCACCAAGAATTTAGCAGGGTGGATCTAGCTTGTGTTTTTCATCGTAACCTGAGCAGAGATGCCAACCACATTAAGGACACTTACAGCTCCTGGTCTCTAGAGAGCTGCCAGGGCCCCACGTGATCATTACATGGACTCAGCTGATCTGCAGCAGAGCCCTCCTGCACACACACGCACACCCGCATGTGCACACACACACACACACACACGCACTCGTCTCCTGTGGAACCCCAGAGATGTTTGTCCTGTTTTGTTTTTCACATTTTATCTGAGGCCATGTGCCATCCCAAGCCTGGCTTCTTGGCAGAGCCCAGAGAATAAAACGTTTAGCAGATTCTGCCATTCTGCAAAGCCCTGCAAGGGCCATCAGAGCAGGAGCGCGGGGTCTTGGATTCCGGTCTCAGACGTGGGAAAGCCTAATGCTCTGGGGCCAACAAGAGTCCTGGGGTCAGATGGACCTGCGCTCACACCCTGCTGCGTGATTGTACCTGTGTCATGCCCTCCCAGTGCCCCCCTCTTGTCATCTGTGAAATAACAGCCATGCCCTGAGGCAGCAGAAGGCTGAAGTGGGGCCATGCCCGTGAAGGCAGTGCTGGCACCCGGGGAAGATTCGGGGCGGGCACATGTGGGGTTGCTTAGGTTCTGCCCTGTGTCCTCATCTACAATGAGGGGTTCTGGAAACACCTCCTAAGACCTTCGCCAGTTTCCCAGGATTCCCACCCATTATGTGTCTGAACTGTGGGGTCTACGCATTACCTGTTCCAATGGGAATATCCATTTCACAAATCACAAAGCAAAATCCTGCTTCTGGGTGAAAAACTTTCAGGTAGTACAAAAACATAGTGGATTTTAGAAACAGAATGGATTCCTTTAAATTTGTAACTGAATAAGACAGATTTTAAGAGGGAAACGATTTTAAAATTCTGCAGTCCCATTTCCCTGGATTCCGGGGTTTCAGAACCCCCACGTTTTTTTAGCAGCTGCTCTGCTCTCCGCATGCCTGAAGACTCCAGACAGAGCCCTGGTGCAGCCGCTGGCTCCTGCGGTGACTCTGCCCTGTGAGCTGTGTGGCCTGGGCGAGTCCCTGATCCATTCTGGGTCTCCCTTTCTTTTTTGTTTTTGTATTGTGGCTTTTCTTTGTTTATCAGGGGGGTTTTGCTCTGCTGCCCAGGCTGGAGTGCAGTGGAGCAGTCTCAGCTTACTGCAGCCTCGACCTCCCAAGCTTAAGCGATCCTCCCATCCCGGCCTCCTGTGTAGCTGGGACCACAAGTGTGCACCACCATGCCTGGCTTTTTTTCTTTTTTTTTGGTAGAGATGGGGTCTCATGATGTTGCCCAGACTAGGTCTCCTTTTTTTTTTTTTTTATCTCTAAGTGAGGACTTAAATGCACCAAGGTTCAGGAGACCTTTCTTCTGCGTTTGTAGGAGCTCACTGTTCTCAGTGGGATCTGAGGACCCACAGCGTCTGCATCACCCACAGACATGCAGAGTTCCAGGCCTTGCACCCCAGACCTGCTGGCTAAGAATCTGCATTTTACCCCCACGAACGTCCCAGTGATTCAGCAACAGGTTCCTGCTAGGGAGTCCTCTTCCCAAAACCCTACCCGGCACGCCTGCCCCACCTCCACAGCTGCTACCATGTGCGCTTACGGAAAAGCTCGTCCACCAAGGAACAGATGTCGCCTCTTCAAGCAGGGGCATCCTTACCCACCTAGGTCTCAGCAGGAGGCTGTCCTCATGAGATCCATGCCAGGGAGCCTCCCTCTTCAAGAACTGCCCATGCCAAGCCCAGATCCCTCACCTGTGAAGCCACTGGCCTGGCTTGAGCCCACAGCACAGACCAGAGCCAGCAGGGCCAGCCCCGAGGTCCTGAGCATCATCCAGCAGTGGTGGCAGCGCAGGGCTCTGGGCCTCTACCAAGAAGCCTGGGTCTCTCCTACACCAGGGCACATAGAGGCCTGAGCCGCCTGGACCCGGAGAAAGGGCCTTTCTGTCTCCTGTGCTGCTGCAGGTGGCAGTGGCTTCAGAGGAAGCACCACTGGGAGCAGTCCCTTATGCCTGCTCGTTAACACCCACCACTGCCGTGGCTGTTTCCCTGGGGGCTCCTGCGTGTCACAGCCTATTCTGCTCCAAGCAGATGGCATCTTTTAGGAAAAGTGAGTACCCAACAGCCCAGACCGCATCACTGGATCCCATCTCGTTGTTACGCAGAAAACACATTTGAGACCCAAATCTGAGTCTCTCCATCAACACAGGGTATTCTCTTACCCTATCATTCTGAACTGGCAGGAGAAAACAGCGTCAAATCAAAGTGGTACATCACGTTGAGAAAAGTGTCCTTCACACGGTTCCACAATGCAGTTCAAAAGTCACAAAAATGTCCAGGTGCTTTGACCCAGTCCTCTCCTCCTGGAGCTTAGGCTGAGAGCACGAAGCTGTGGTCACGGGGATGTGCATTACTTATTATGACTTCAAGTGGAAAATTACGTAATTGAACAGCCACAGGAGAACGGGAGTGTAATTATTACAGAGCATCTGGATGCAGCATTACATGGGTGTTGAAATGCTCACCATGAAGTTTTAGCAGCATAAAAAAATACTCAACAATGTGAAGCCAAAACAGCAACGCACGCAATTTCATCACCATGAAAGTGACAACTCTGTACAGTTATATAAGCATGGAGAAAACTCCAGAAAGGGCCATGGGATGGGAAGAAAACATTTTGAGGAGTGATAAGAATACGGGTGATTGATGTTTTATTTCAGTAACCATCATGGTATATGTGACATAGATTTCTAAATTTCATGTTAAGTTCTTTCAAGCTCATGATGTTTTCATATCGCACTGCTGATTGCCTCTTATTGCTTGGTGTTGACTGCTGAAGCCCAATTTTTTTTTTTAATTTTTTTTTGAGATGGAGTCTGGCTCTGTCGCCCAGACTGGAGTGCAGTGGCGCGATCTCCGCTTACTGCAAGCTCCGTGGCCTCCTGGGTTAACGCCATTCTCCTGCCTCAGCTGCCCAGTTTTTAACACTGGATGAAGAAGATCTTGTGGATTTTACTGAGGAAATATTCTGATGAGTTAACAAAGATTCATCCTGGCTGTATGTTTCAGGAGCATAATTCCTTGGTGTTCTAGATACAAAACAATTCCTCCAGAAGGGAACTTCTCGCCTGACTCCCGCACCAACGACGCTACCTCTTTTATTCTCCGTAGATTCATCTCTGAGATGATGAACTGCTGCATTTGCTTGGCTAATGACTAAAAGTCAGATGCTATGACAAGAATACAAAAATGATCACACACGGAAATGATCTCACAGCAAAGGGGCTGCGCACCACGGGTGTCCTTGGAACACAGCAGCTTTTATAGAAAACCAAAAGCTTCACGCAGAATCGGCTCATTACAAAAAGTTTTCAGCTGGGCGCGGTGGCTCTCGCCTGTAATCCCAGCACTTTGGGAGGCCGAGGCGGGTGGATCACGAGGTCAGGAGATTGAGACCATCCTGGCTAACATGGTGAAATCCCGTCTCTACTAAAAAATACAAAAAACTAGCTGGGCGTGGTGGTGGGTGCCTGTAGTCCCAGCTACTCAGGAAGCTGAGGCAGGAGAATGGCGGGAACCCGGGAGGCGGAGCTTGCAGTGAGCCCAGATGGCGCCACTGCACTCCAGCCTGGGCGACAGAGCGAGACTCTGTCTCAAAAAAAAAAAAGGTTTCATAGGAAAAGAATAACTGTTAAAGCTATTGTATAATACTCAAAAAAGTGAAATTTGATCAACGCTAAAAGAATAAATTAAAAGTATTATGATTTAAGTAAATCTGAACACTTTAAAATGCAAGACGAATGTGTATTATATTGTATATACCATCTCAATGTTTGCTACTATAATGTATGAATGTCTCTATAAAATATTAAGGTTAATCAGGGATAATGTTACAGGTTAAAACCCAATTTGTCTGGTGCACCATTGTCTCTCATCTTCACGATTACTCTATGAAATAGGTCATTTGTCCCTATTAAATAGGTGAGAAAACAGGTTCAGAAAGGCCACACAGCCAGTAAACAAGAGATTAAACCCAGACTTGTCCAAGCCTCAAGCCGCAGTTCTTCACACTCCACTCCACTGCTGGTCTGTCATGATTTAACCACAGACCCCAAGACAGGGGAAAAAAGTCAAGACATTTTACCAGTTGAGGACTTCATAATAATTTACAATCGTCCATAAAATGTCATTGTAACATGCTGTCTCTTTATATTAAATGATTAAAGAAAAAAGTCTCAAAATTAACAGTCTGTTTCTAGCTTGGTCTCTCCTTCAACCTCCCTTTCATTGAGGCACAAAGAAAGATACCTCTGCCGTGTGTGTGTGTGTGTGTGTGTGTGTGTGTGTGTGTTTCTGTCTGTGTTTTGTCCACAGAAGGAATTTTTCTGCAGTTATCCTTTATGCATGTTTTTCTGCACGATGGCCAGAGGGATTTTGCACGTTTGCACTGTCCATGTAAACACTCTGAGGAGAAAAACAACCCCACACTGTAACCCAACAGGGAGAGAATTCTCGAGCACTAGAGGTCTGACGCTGCCGGGGTGTGTCTTCCACAGTCCATCCAGCAGAGAGCCCCAAATTCGCTCAGGGCCTCTGTGCGGAAAGGCCAGCATCCCCCACACAGCATCCAAGGGCTGGAGAGCCAATGGAGGCCACTGGTGTGCCGTGCTGGCTTTCAGGGCACACATGCCCAGGCATTCACACCCTCTCACACTGACATACATGCACTCACACTGTGCATAAACACAGACACATCCACACTCACATGTGCACCGACACATACAGACACTCACACAAGTCCACACACATACTGACACTCGTTCACACTTACACTTACAAACACAAACTCATATGCCACATCACTCACTCATGCATGCTCATTCACACATGCCCACACTAACACATGTGCACATATTCACACCCATAAGCATATGGGCATTCACACACACACACATTCTCGCCCTCACACTCGCACACACTCACATTCACTCTTGAATCTGCACACCCACACACATGCTCGTACTCACAATCACATTCACACTCATGTACTTGCACACACACAGCTGCCCGCTCTCACAAGCACAACGCAGGAACCAAGGAAGTGCTTCCCATCCCGGGATGCAGCCTCTGCCTGGGCGTGTGCTACACCTCCTGTCTTGAGCGCTGGCGCCTGGGCCGGCAGCTGCCCTGGTGTCTCCATCTCTAGAGGGAGCGATTTGAACTCAACGGCCTCCAGGGGGCCTTTCTCATCTCAGGTCAGACTTCTAGGACCCTATGTGTGCAAGCTCACAGAGGCTCAACAAGTCACACTGCAAAATCACACGTCTGTCATTACCCTACGGCCAAAATGTTCACAGCCTCCTCTTCGTATCCCCACGACAGGCAGCCATGGCAACGGCTGCCAGGCAGGTGCACGGCAAAAAGAGGCAGGGCGGGAGAAGCCCGCATCTCCAAGGGGTGGCCAGGTGGGTTTATTTTCAGGGAAAGCTGGTTGTGTTGGAGAATGCGAGGAAGAGCTAGGGAGGAGAGTCATGCAATCGAAAAATGTTTTGGACTTGGAGGAGACCTTGAGTCATCCACCCCACCATCCAGCCCATCCAGGTGGCTCTCCGACAGTGGCCGTGACGTAACACCCTCTTTCTCGGGGTGTGGCTGGGGACCACCTGCATGGGGAGGGGACCTATAGAAAATGCAGGCTCCCAGCCTCGCCCGTCGCTCACTCAGGCACTGGAGCATGGGCCCCCGGCATCCCGGTGACTCAGTGCTCACACAGCCTTGAGGATGGGACTCCGTCCTCCTGAACACCAGGCCATGAATCCATGGGATGGACCCTTCTGTGGACAGATGGCTCTGCCAGAAAATTCCTCCCGATGTGGAATCACGGTTGGCCTTCCCACTGGAACGACCACACCCGGGGAGCCTGGTCCACCCTCACACTGGACAGTGAGTGCCACTCCTCCATGTGGCAGCCTTCGGACCCTTCTGGAGAGTTCTCTGGGCCACCTCTGTTTTGCTCCCCTCCCCCATCTCTCTCTCCCTCACTCATACAGACACATGCCCTCTTGTCTTTGTTTCTGTTCGTTGCTGTTTCCGTTTGCCTTTGCAGAAGCTCAGCTTTCTTATCACAGCCCAAATGACTTTTCCTTTTTCACATTCTACTTCGGAGACTGTGGCCCTCCATGGGCAACAGTTGTGGGGTTGGATGGAAAGTGAGGGTGCGGCCTGGGGTCGGGACATTGTCTGCAGGCCCCGAGGAGCAGCGCAGGCATGCCGCTTTCTCGTGGTGAAGCCAGAGCAGAGCGGAAGGCGAAGAGACACAAGAAACTCCCAGAAGAGGTGCCCAGGCCCTCAGAGGTGCTTCTGTAACACAGCAAAGGTGTATCTAAGACCGGGGTGCAGTGGACACGCACATGCCACTGTGTTTTCAAACCCCGTGTGCCTCACAGCGGTACCTGGGGAAAGCCCTGGATTAGGAGCCAAATACCCTCGGTCCAGTCCTCATTCTGCCAACAGCTGGACAGGGTCCCCTGGGTGGCATTTATCCTCTCAGCGCCTCGGTTTCCTAAACGAGAAATTACCAAAAGGGAATAGTGATGCCTTCTAATTTAGTGGTGTTTTACTGCCTCCTGATTTTATGAAAACCAAATTAATTAATGTATGGGAATGCCTTCCAGAACTGGAGAGTATTTTAAGTATCCATCATTTATTGTCATTAAATGTAGGTAAGGCCATTACTGGGGAAATATAATTACAAATAAAATGTGCTGGCCAGGCACAATGACTCACGCCTATAATCCCAGCACTTTGGGAGGCCAAGGCAGGTGGATCACG